ATGTCTATTTTACATGAAAGTAATTTCCCTGCGTATTACATATTTTGGGGAAGGACACTGTTGTATTTGTGCTTATGTGTCCAAGAATGACCAAGGGGTTGGTGAATCAGCCTCAGTAAAGGTCGGTGGTGAATCAGACTCAGTAAAAGCCAATGACCACACTGGGAAGTGACTCAGAAACACCAGAAATAGTTCACAGGACTTGATATGCAAGCAGGAACTGCAAAGACCATGGTATCTTCAATGCCTAATGCAGTAATATTTCTAATTACTGGAATTGCAAAAATGTTTAAAGAATTACTAATTCAACATGGTAAACTGAGTACCTTCCCAAACAAAACAATAAAAAATAACAATAAAAAATGCTGAAAACAAGAAAAGATATTTTTCGGAAACAGAAATGTTAAGGGCTTCTGGAGGTTTAAAAGCTGCTGGGAACTATGTTCATGTGTAAATCAAAATAGAAAACAGAAGAAAGACATCAGAGTTGAGCAACACTCTTCCTAAAAAGAACAAGCTCGGAATTACTAATGGTCTATGAGATTATGGCTAGAACAATTTTAAGAAATAGATATTGCAATATAGAGTATATCAGTTGACACCTACACAGCAATGCTGTATAACAAGCCTCACTCAAATCTCACTGGTTAAAGTAATAATCATTTATTATTGCTCATGAGTCTATGTGTTAGACAGTTCTGCAAATCTTGAAATAGTCATAATATTCCTTTGTTGGATATGTAGTTTATAAATGTTTTATCCATTGCTGTGGCTTCATTTTCATCCTCTTAACAAGGTCTTTTACACATTAAGTTAAAACCCGAGCATTCCCTTATCCTACTGGCAGGGCATGTGACAGGGGTATGGCTCACTTCACTGGTGCCAGGTGCTCAAACCGCTAGGGGGAGCATGCACACGGGCAGGTGCAGAGGCCGTGGGGAGTGCTTTCGGGCTCCCACCCCATGGCAGCACCTAGGACTTACAGTGCACTCTTTCAGCTATGCCATCTGCAGTCAGCTTGTGTTAGTCAACTCAACAGACCCTCTGCTTATTGCAAGGACAGGGGGCCAATGTGACAGCCTGAGCTCTTGCCCAGTGTATTGGAAGAATCAGATCATATGTGGGTTGAAAGGTTGAGTGCAAGGTTTTACTGAGTGGTGGAAGTGGCTCTCAGTGAGATAGATGGGGAGCCGGAAGTCGGGGGATGGAGTGGAAAGGTGGTTTTCCCCCGCAGTTGGCTGCCCAGTGGCAGGACTCTTCTCCGACTACCCCTGGCTAAACTCCCCTTCGGCATTCGTGTCCTTCCGCCATCGCTGATCTGCCGGTGTCTGTTGGTGTATTCTTCTGCTCCTCTCGACGTCCAGCCTCGTGTCTGTATCCGCTGAAGGTCTCAGGTTTATATGGGCACAGGATGGGGGGCGTGGCGGGCCAAAAGGCAACTTTTTGAGTGCAAAAACAGAAACCTCTGTCCTCATTTAGGTCGGTGGGCACAGGCCCTAGGATGGATCCCTCATCAGGGACTGCACCCTTTTCTACCGAGCACTTCCCTGCCCTACTCTTGTATCAAAATGCTTTTAATTTGAATGAGGAAAATCTCTCTTGGAAGATTTCAAGTGGTGGGGAATATGGACTTAAATAGAAGCAAAACATAGCTTAACCATATTTGAGCTTCTGAACCTCCTCACCTTCAAAAGTATGTAAAAAATAGTTTAATTTCTATAATCTGCATGGTTGTTTTGTTCCTAAAATGTGTATCTATTTTATCCCACTGTGAAGATAGAGTAAATGGAACCATTTCCTGCTTCATAGAGAAAGAAAGCATTCAATTGTGTCTTGAGTGATTAGAAGTATTGAACAGTATGAAGATGGTAGCAGAAATTACAAGAGCAAATGTATGAACAGGCATTAAATTGTGTAAGACTGTTTTGTAAGGGTGTGAAGTACACTTGATAAAGTAACATTTATCTTACTCAGTAGTCAAAAATAAGATAAGATATGGTCCAAATGTTTAAAAATTCAAATGCCCTCCCGAAGTGAAATTTTTATCTAGTGAACAATGGAGACTTGTTGAATGTATAAAAATTGAAAAGTGGTTTTAGGAAAATGATTGCATCACTGGTAGAATGATTCAGGCTTCTTGCAGGCCTAACTGGGATACTTGGGAGAAGGATGTTCCAAGCAAAGGGAATAGCTTGAGCAAAGGTTCTAAGGCAGAAGTGTGCCTTGTGTATTCGAGGAATGGCCAGAAGGCCAATGTGTTGTGAAAAAATAAGCAAGGGAAAGAGGAACAGAGAGGAGGCAAGAAATGTAACAGGGAGGGGGATCACCCAGGACCTTGTAGGCCTATGTAGGCTGTAGGTTTTTCTCTAAGTGAAATAGGAAGCTACTGTATGGTTTAGCGGAAGAGTGACAGCATCTAACCTAAAGGATCACTCTGACTTCTATGTTGAGAGTAGACTCCGGGTTGGTGGCTAGAATGAGGGAGGCCAAGGTTAGAAGTAGAGGAACCTAAGAGGAGGCTATGACAACTATAGAAGATAAATCGAATGAGTCCCCACAGGGATTTTTAGTGCCCCTACCAACTCTGCCATTCATAGGAACCTACAGGGAGTTGGATCTAATTGGGGTTGATATTATAGTCTTAAATCTCAAAACGTAATTAAAAGAATGCAAGAATTAAAGCGTAAGAGTTTAAAAGTTGTGGGCTCTCAGGGGGCTGCTGCTGGGCCGCTGGGTCTCTCTTTGTGGACTTTGTCTCCTGAGGCCTGGAACAGGAGGAACTCCAGTCCGTTCCAGCCTCCATGGCAGCCCACGGTTAGGTGCACCAGGGTTTGCTGATGTCATCTTGTGCTGTTCCACCCTTGGCGCCAGCAGAGCTGCTGCCCCACTGTCCCAGAAAAGCCTGAGCCTGTAGTTTAGGTAGGATACCACATCTGCATCCTCAAGACCTGTTATCCATGCGCAAAAAGATGTTGGGAAAGGCCATTTTGCCAGGAGGGGTTGGGGAGGGACAGATAATCTATTTTTAATAAATAACATCCTAGAAAGACCAAAAAAAATTTTAAAAATAATAAAAGCTTTGGGCTCCATGAACTGGAGAGGTCAGAGAAATAGAAGAATTGTAGGAGTTACTGAGATAAACAGAAGGCAGGTAGTGGTAGAACGATAGGATAATTTAAATACAAATATTGAAAGATCTTTGTTGTTCCTTAAATGGTCTGTAATCACAGAAGTAAGTCTGAAAAGGACTGGAGGGGAAAAAGACTCAGAGTATAGGAGGTTGAGAAACGTAGAAGCCTTGCGAGTGAATAAATTGTCTATGTGATGAATAGTATTAAGAAAGATGACTGGATTAGTAGCAGGCAGAAGGACTGAATAAGAAAATTTCTGAAGGTAATAAGGTAAGTACAACAAGGGGTAATATTATAAAGTAACATGTATAAAGCAGCAGGGCTTTAAAGTAGGAGGGAGAAAATGATCTGGAAGCAGCAGGGAGGAATTCTGCACTATTTCTGTCTTGAAAGTCAGGACCCCTATACGTCAAAAAAAAAAAAAAATAGAGAATGACAAAGTGGAATTTGGCTTATGGCAGAACTCCAACAAACCTCAATTGCCTTGGGCACTCAAAATACAGGGATCTTCCACCTCAGTTGTCAATGATATCATGATAGGGATTTAGAAGGAATCAGTATACAAATATGAATATCAGAGAAATTATAACCAGTCAGAATGGATTGCAGGTATTATATAGAAACTTCTCATATACATAAGAAGAAAAATGTAAATTTGTGTGTTAAGGACATATAATCAGGGAGGAAACAGGGCAACAGAAGACTGGACATGTCTGTCTGCTTTGAGATACCCCAGTGTGGGTTCTTATCAGGAGGCCTCATCAGTGCTCTGTGAGTGTGCACAGCATTTAGCCAGCACCTGGCTCTTCTTATGCAGAATAGAGATAACTGGATCCTTAGATTCCAGGCCAGGTAGCTTACATTTAGTGAACTAACCTGCTTGTTCTAGCCACATTTGAGACACTCTTTAGGAGTAATGAAAAATTCCTTAATAAACATAAAGTTGAAATTGGCATTAAGAAGGAATGTCCACACCCATAGTAAAGAACTTTCTTTTACAATCTAGAAAACTTGTGCAGGAAATTTCTGTTTGCAACTTAGAGTTAGGAGAGAATGAAGGGGAAAGCGTAGTTCAGAAAACGTAGCCTTTCTCGGGAGCTCCCACCATTCTCATGGGATGGCAAATGCAGGAGGACGGGGAAATCTCCAGTGTGGGTAGCCAAGGTTTATCTTACTCCTGTGTGTTTTGAGCAGAGAGAATATCTGAGGAATCCTCAAAACCCATCTCATAATCCTCAAACCAACCTAAGGTTTCCTATGTTGATACCTTCTCATTTACTCTCTTTGTCAGACCCTCAAACCACTTTTTTCTCAGGGGAGGGAGGAACAGAAAAGACTTTGCCCAGGACTGCTGGGAGGTAGAAGGAGAAGGGGAAACACCAGGGTTTCTGCACAGGAAAGGGGTGATTCTGCAGCGCTGTGGCTAAACTGCTGGCACAGAAGTACACAGCCGAGTCCCTGGGTTCTGAGGGCTGGATCTTCAGAGTGGAGAATGATGCGTTAGGCATCTTAGCTGAGAATCGATCCTTGGGCATCCCTGAATCATCTATCGGATCCTTGTTGTTAAAGTAAATCAGGAACTCCAGTCCCCGCATCATGGTCTGTCTGTACCAGAAGAGGTAGGTATGGCCTGAAATTGGTTCGCATCTCAGAGTCACTTCTTTTCCCATCTCTGTCACCTTATGCCGGGGTGACTGGATAACTCCAGCATCTGTGTGCTCTGTGAAAGAAGGAAGAATTGGGGGACAGAATAAAGAAAATATAAGACATCATCCATGCAGGAGCCCAGTGTGACGATGGTAAATATTCTGAAGACTCACTCGCTACCACGATACAAAGGGACACACAGCAGAGAGTCCAGGAAATATTCCAGAGCAGGCCCTCTGTGAGCATGAGCAAAGAGATGAATGTTGTGACACTTTATCCCCACAGGATGCATCTGTCAGTGACATCACTGAATGGGCCACCAGCGGCAACTTCTTTAAGAGGAGGCTGCATCTCTGGGAGATGAATCAGGCAGGACTGAACTCAACTATAATGGATCTGAGATACAGATGCACACATGCAGAGGCTCCCTGGGTATTTGTTTTGATATTAACAATTCATAGCACCTTCTCCATAACATGCCTTACATAGGAGCCTGCCAGCTTTATCCATCTGCACCTCAGACTCCAAGTATTTAAAGATGAACTCTTTGTCTTATTGCAAACCAGCTTCTCTGCAAACTCTCTCATTCCTCTCACTGGTGGCTTGGTGCTTCTACTCCTTTATGTGTACTTAAATTATCCATCAGTGAGTTAGGAGTAGGCATCTGAGAAGATGCATGTCAACTGCATTGTTAGGGATACAGGAGCTGAGCTGATGCCCTGAGAACTGATTATATTTGAAGCTCTTCCCTGCAGTGAAAAACCTGGGTTTATTTATCCTTGAACCGTATTGAATTCCCGAGGCCCATGGAATGGAACCTCTCACATTCTCTATTCCCACAATAAAACAGAGGATAAGATTGTCTTATTCTTGAAGACTTGCAGCTAAAATGTTCTATTCTTGAATTAAATCTTATTACTACCCCTAGAAAAGTTCAATGTTTTTTCATCATTAACACCTGGCCTTTTCCCCATAACTCCACTTCTGCAGACCTACTTCCTCTCAGGGATTATGGAAAGCTGAGAGAAAGATTTGTTTTTTGAGTTGGTCAATTCAGTTACTTGCCATAAAAGGGCATATTTTGACTCTTGGCACTGAGGTATGCTTCTGAGTTCACTGCATTCAAAAGTACTTGCCAATGTTAAAGGGCAATAGTTTGCAGACTAGCTTGTGTTACCAGAGGGGCCTGTTTCCCTGCGGGTTCTATCCTTTTGCAGGGTCTGTTGTACCCAGGATATAAAACTGTGGTCATAATTCTGTCTTCAAAAATTTAATTGCTTACCACTCCCTGTAACCACGTTCCAAGCATGGCAGGCAGCATGACAACCTCTCAAAGATGTCCATGTCTAATTCCCAGAAACTGGGAATGTGTTAAATTTTGTGGCAAGGGGAGAAAGGAATGTTCCAAATGGAATGAAGCTTGCTAATCAGCTGGCCTTAATACAGGGAGCATGTCCTGGATTTTCCAGGTGGGCCCAATGTAATCACAAGGGTCCTAAAATGTGGAAGAGGGAGAATGAAGAGTGAGCCTCAGAGTGATGCAGAGCAAGCAAAGGCTCAGCCAGTCCCTGTTGGCTTTGAAGATTGAATGGGGCCATGAGCCAAGGAATGCTGGTGGCCTCTAGAAGTTGAAAAGGAGAGAAAAACAGTTCTCCCCTAGAGCCTCGGGAAGGAATGCAGTCCTGCCAACACCTGGATTTTAGCCTGGTTTTGGACTTCTGACCTGCAGAACTGTAAGATAATTGCTTTTAGTTATTGTAAGCCAGCAAGTTAATGGTAATTTGTGTCAATAGAAATTGAATACCTTCTAGTAGCCATGGGACTGATGGGTGAGAGGCAAAAGCCAGATACAAAATACAGGTAGAGACAGATGCATGATCACATGGAATGAATTTCAAATCAGGCTAAAGGAAGTCTATAATGCAGCTGGGCTTTAGAAAAGGAGGAAGGAAAATAATCTGGAAGCACCCAGGAGGAATTCTGCACTATTTCCATCTTGAGTGTCAGGACCCCTGTACGTAAAAAAAAAAAAAAAAAAAATAGGAGAATGATGAAGTGGAATTTGGCTTACAGCAGAACTCCAAAAAACCTCAGTTGCCTTGGGAACTCAAAATACAGGGATCTGTTGCCTCAATTGTCAATGATACCATGATAGTGATTTAGAAGGAATCAATATTAAATATGAATATCAAAGAGAAATTATAACCACTCAGAATGGATTGCAGGTATTGTATAGAAACTTTTCATATAAATAAGAAAAATGTAAATTTGTGTGTTAAGGACATATAAGCAGAAAGGAAACAGGACAACAGAAGACTGGACATGCTTGTCTGCTTTTAGACACCCCAGTGTGAGTCCTCACCAGGAGGCCTCGTTAGTGTTTTCTGACTGTGCACAGCCTTTATCCAGCACCTGGTTCTTCTTATGCAGAATAGAGACAAATGGATCCTTAGATTCCAGGCCAGATAACTTACGTCTAATGTACCAACCTGCTTGCTCTAGCCACATTTGAGACACTCTTTAGGAGTAGTGAAAAATTCCTAAGTAAATGTAAATTTGAAATTGGCATTATAAAGGAATGTCCACAATCATAGTAACGAACTTTCTTTTACAATCTAGAAAATGTGTGAGGGAAATTTCTGTTTGCAACTTAGGAGAGAAGGAAGAGGGCCTCATAGTTCAGAAAATGCAGCCTTTCTCAGGAGCTCCCACCATTCTCATGGGATGGCAAATGCAGGAAGGCAGGGAAATCTCCAGTGTGGGTAGCCAAGGTTTATCTTACTCCTATGTGTTTTGAGCAGAGAGAATTTTTGAGGAACCCTAAAAACCCATTTTGTAATCCTCAAACCAACCTAAGGTTTCTTATGTCGATACCTTCTCATTTTCTGTCTTTGTCACACCCCAAAACCACTTTTGTCTTAGGGGAGAGAGGAACAGAAAAGACTTTGCCCAGGACTGCTTGGAGGTAGAAGGAGAAGGGGAAACACCAGGGTTTCTGCACAGGAAAGGGGTGATTCTGCAGCGCTGTGGCTAAACTGCTGGCACAGAAGTACACAGCCGAGTCCCTGGGTTCTGAGGGCTGGATCTTCAGAGTGGAGAATGATGCGTTAGGCATCTTAGCTGAGAATCGATCCTTGGGCATCCCTGAATCATCTATCGGATCCTTGTTGTTAAAGTAAATCAGGAACTCCAGTCCCCGCATCATGGTCTGTCTGTACCAGAAGAGGTAGGTATGGCCTGAAATTGGTTCGCATCTCAGAGTCACTTCTTTTCCCATCTCTGTCACCTTATGCCGGGGTGACTGGATAACTCCAGCATCTGTGTGCTCTGTGAAAGAAGGAAGAATTGGGGGACAGAATAAAGAAAATATAAGACATCATCCATGCAGGAGCCCAGTGTGACGATGGTAAATATTCTGAAGACTCACTCGCTACCACGATACAAAGGGACACACAGCAGAGAGTCCAGGAGCCCATGGCAGAGTGAGAGCAGATGTGGAATATTCCAGAGCAGGCCCTCTGTGAGCATGAGCAAAGAAATGAATTTTGTGACATTTTATCCCCACAGGATGCATCTGTCAGTGACATCACTGATTGGGCTACCACCCCCAACTTCTTTAAGAGGAGGCTGCATCCCTGGGAGATGAAACAGTCAGGAATTAACTCAACTATAATTGATCTGAGATACAGATGCACACATGCAGAGGCTCCCTGGATATTTGAGTTGGTCTATTAAGTTACTTGCCATAAAAGGGCATATTTTGGCTCTTGGCACAGAGGTATGCTTCTGAGTTCACTGCATTCAAAAGTACTTGCCAATGTTAAAGGGCATTAGTTTGCAGACTAGCTTGTGTTACCGGAGGGTTATGGAGAAGGAACAATTCATGGTTCCTTCTCCATAACATGCCTTACATAGGAGCCTGCTAACTATATCCATCTGCACCTCAGACTCCAAGTATTTAAAGATGAACTCCTTGTCTTACTGCAGGCCAGCTTCTCTGCGAACTCTCTCATTCCTCTCACTGGTGGCTTGGTGCTTCTACTCCTTTATGTGTACTTAAATTATCCATCAGCGAGTTAGGAGTTAGGCATCTGAGAAGATGCATGTCAACTGCATTGTTAGGGATACAGGAGCTGAGCTGATGCCCTGAGAACTGATTATATTTGAAGCTCTTCCACTATATTTGAAGCTCTTCCCTGCAGTGAAAAACCTGGGTTTATTTATCCTTGAACCGTATTGAATTCCCAAGGCCCATGGAATGGAACCTCCCTCACATTCTCTATTCCCACAATAAAACAGAGGATAAAATTGTCTTATTCTTGAAGACTTGCAGCTAAAATGTTCTATTCTTGAATTAAATCTTATTACTACCCCTAGAAAGGTTCAATATTTTTTGTCATTAACACCTGACCTTTTCCCCATAACCCCACTTCTGCAAACCTACTTCCTCTCAGAGATTATGGAAAGCTGAGAGAAAGATCTGTTTTTTGGGTTGGTTAATTAAGTTACTTGCCAACAAAAGAGAAGGGCACATTTTTTGCTGTTGGCACAGAGGCATGCTTCTGAGTCCCCTGCAGTTGAAAGCACTTCCCAATGTTAAAGGGTATTAGTTTGCAGACTAGTTTGCGTTACTGGAGGGGCTATTTCCCTGTGGGTTCTTTCCTTTTGCAGGGTCTTTGGATCCGGTATATAAAACTATGGCCATAATTCTGTCTTCAAAAAGTTAATTGCTTATTACTTCCTGTAACCAGGTACCAAGTATGGCAGGCAGCGTGATGACCTCTTAAAGATGTCCTCGTCTAATTCCCAGAAACTGGGAATGTGTCAAATTATGTGACAAGGGGAGAAAGGAATGTTCCAAATGGAATGAAGATTGCTAATCAGCTGGCCTTAATACAGGGAGCCTGTCCTGGATTTTCCAGGTGGGCCCAATGTAATCACAAGGGTCCTAAAATGTGGAAGAGAGAGAATGAAGAGTGAGCCTCAGAGTGATGCAGAGTCCCTGTTGGCTTTGAAGATTGAATGGGGCCATGAGCCAAGGAACGCTGGTGGCCTCTAGAAGCTGAATAGAAGAGAAAGATAGTTCTACCCGAGAGCCTCGGGAAGGAATGTAGCCCTGCCAATACCTGGATTTTAGCCCAGTTTTGGACTTCTGACCTGCAGAACTGTAAGGTAATAAGTTTTTGTCATTATAAGCCATAAAGTTATTGGTAGTTTCTGTCAATACAAATTGAATACCTTCTAGTAGCCATGGGACTGATGGGTGAGAGGCAGAAGCCAGATAGAAAATACAGGTAGAGACAGATGCATGATCATATGGAAAGAATTTAAAATCAGCCCAAGGGAAGCCTATTCAAAAACATCTTCTTATGTCTGCCTAGGCCTCATCTTCTTCCAGGATACACACTGGACTATGCCTCATATGTGGATATGATGGTGGCATCACTGTGATTGTCAACTCCCTGGGGAGAGGGTCCCTCTGCTGTGGTCCTGGGTAGCACCTCCATTTCTTGCTATTCTACTCTCTACAGAGCAGGTAGGGTTGGCCTTGGCTGGTTTGGGGCCAGGCTTTCCAAGGCTCCTTTGACACAAGAACTCCTTCTCTGGTTTTCTCAGCTCAGAACATGGGCCCTGCACCGCCCCAGCTCCTTGTGCCCCCACATCTTAAGCGAGCTCAGAGGTATATGCACTGCAAAGCACACCTGTCACTCAGCCCCACTCAAAGCTCAATTTAAAGCAAAACCCACCTCTACAATGGAGGAAGAAGGGTCGGTTACTAATTCCTTTATTCCCAGCCATCATTCAAGACCTCTGCAAACCAACTCCCTGAATCTAGGTCCAACCTCAGAGTAACCCTTAACCATCTTTTTCCAGGGAGCAATCTCTGCTCCTCCCTGTAGACCCTGGATGACAGCGAAGCCACAGTGCCTCCTAGTGGCCAGCAGGCTGGAACAGCACAAATGTGCTGTCTTTTGCCAAGACACAGGGACTTGGGCTTTGTTTCACTGAGTACGGGGCATATAGAATATTATGATTAGTTAGTGTTAGAAGGCCAGCGAATAATATTAGTGCTATGGGGTAGGACAGAGACACCTGAGACATTGACAATGCGGTCAGAAAGGTGGAAACATAATGCCAGGTTTAATACTGGTAAGCAGCAGGTCTCAATGTGAAACTTGACGGGCGGGCTAACATGATGCTGAATCAGAATTTAACCATTCTCTGTCCCCTCCAAACGGCAGGCTAGCCCTGCATGGAAGAGAAAGTTCGCCACTGATCTTAGCACACGTTGAAAACGCACCAAAGAATCTACCTTTTCTCTAGGGAACCAGGAGGAAAACAGGAAATAAGGAGAGACTAAAATGAAGAGAACAAATACTATAACTGATTTCCCTTCCATAGAGAAGGTTTGGCAAGGAATGGGAAGATCAAAACAGGATTATTATTTTTGGGGTGCCCCACAAAATGGGGTATATGGAACAAACTGTTGTCCCAGGAGACTGGCTTTAAACGGGGTAAAACAATGGTAACATATCAGTTACTCCCTCCAATTTTGACCACTGCCCCTGGGGAATACTCATAAAACAGCAAAAATACACCCCCAGAGTGCAGTAATTAAGTTAATTTGAAGCCCAATCTATACTATCTGACCTAATCTCAACATTCTCTTGATTGTGTTTCTCATCTTGCCATATGGTCCAATGGAACACAGAGGTTATGTGATAGAAATAAATAACAATATAAGAATACCCTAGTAATAACATGCCCCAAACAAAGATATGTCTCAATTGGATTATGAATGGCCTTTAAGTTTTTTTTAAAAAAGTATTTGATATCAGAGTTTAATATCTCTATACCATTTAAGTTAAATATCAGGCACATCACAAAGAATCTAACATTAAAATTCAAGGAAAATTAGAATTCCAAGTAAAGTTATTTTCACCTTAATCCCAATAATTAAGGATAATGGCACTCACTCTTTCTGTTGTTATCTACATAGTTGGAAAAAATATCAAAAACAACATTAAAAATTTCAATTAATTAAAGTCCTAAAAAAAAAATAAGGAATAACTTGGCTGGAATGTTGGTGAGGGCAAGAGCCCTGGGAGGTGAGCACAGCAGTCCATTTGTCCTAGAGGGCATTTGCAGATCCTGACTCAGCTCTCAGGAAGCTGACTCACAGGCCAAGGGGGGTAAAGGCAAAGACCAGAACGTACCAAATGTGTCATTGCCAAATTCCAATAGTAACAATAAGCCAGAGACAAACCTGTTCTCCAGATGCTCCAGGACACCTCAAGCCTTAAACTGATTCAGGGAGTCTGATCGTTTATACCTACATGCACTTTCAGAAGCACAGAAAAATGATTGCTGCAGAAAAATATGGTCCATCCTACACCAAAAATTATTTCTACAGCTATAGCATTTGGCATAGTGTCAAACATCATCAGATTGGTAAGGAGAAATACAAACGCCATGAAAACTCAAGCACCATAACTGAGAAGCTGCACAAAAAGAAAATCACAAAAATATCCTGTGAAGATCTCAGAGGTGAAAATGATCAGACAGACTCTGAAACAACCGTGTGTCCTATGTTAAAATAATAAAAAGTGATCTCAGAAAATATGAGGAAGTTATTGACTATAAATAACATAGCAGATTGGAAAAAGAAAAAAATAGAAATTTTGACAAGGAGATGGTGAGTGAGTGGTCATTTTAATCCATCACATTGGTGAGGTTTTATTAGAGGAATAAAGGAAAGGGAGATGTGCACTGAGCAAATGGACATAAAGCCTGACTTGCCATCAGGAATTAGATTGGATAAGGAGGGGAGGGAAGTCAGGAAGGGCTAATGGACAGTGACAATGCTTTCAGACAATTTCCAGTATGCTGCTTTTTAGTGATTCTAACCAATACTTCAGAAAGATTTCTAGAATTATCTTAGTTTAGGCAGAAGAAGAGTAGTGAATATGAAGCTAGACACACAGAGTGTATTATCAGAGAGGGCAATTGATTGCTTCAGAAGTTCTTACAAGGAATATTTTAATCCACAAAGGAACTTTTAATATATGAGGCAGACAAGTGGAAATGTCCTCTGAACTGACTGGTCCAGGTCTAGATATACTCTTGGGCTGGGATGATTACATAGAAGCGTCAGAAAGTTCAGGAGAAGCAGAATTCATCTGGAGCTAAGATTTGGGACTGGTTGCTGGGGTATCCATTTGTGTGCATTTCTTTGAACGAGAAAAAGGACTGAATAACGTAGCTGAAATGATAATCACTATCATTAACAACATCATTATTAACATACTGTAACAAAAATAAAACAGAAGGGAAAAGATTTCCAAACGCATACTATGTGTTGAGACTTTGCTAGACAGCCAGGGTGTCACCAAGGATAACAAGTCATTCACACGCTGACAACTACAGAGGGGGAGCCTGCTGTTTGCTGCTTGGTATAATCACTATCTGTATTATTAAGTTTATTGTACATGTTTCATGATATCATGCTTTTATGGGAGAGAAACTATCACTACCCCTGAGGACTCAATCTCTGATAAGTCACTTTAGGTTTCTTCAGTTGTCCCCAAGAAGTGTTCCAAATCCCTGAGACACATTTTCAAACAACAATGATAGCGCTCATGTTTTAAGAAAGAGTTCATTTCCTCCCACTATATGAATCCTAGCTATATCTGAAAACTCGCTTCTTCCCTGGGAGGATGAGGAATAAGGAAAGGCCGCTGTGAGCTGATAGAGAGGAGCGAGCCCTGCAGTTTTGTGCACAGGAGGGAAGTGTCTCTGCACCGCTGTGGCTAAGCTGCTGGCACAGAGATACACGGCCGAGTCCCCAAGCTCTGCAGGCTGGATCTTGAGAGTGGAGTCTACTCCTTTGAGCCTCTCCGCAGAAAATCGATCCTTAGGCAACTGTGAATCATCTACTACACCCTCATTCTCAAACCGAACCAGAAGCGCCGGGCCCTGTCCCAAGTTCTGCCGGTACCAGTAAAGGGTATTGTGGCCAGAAATAGGATTGCACCAAAAAGCCACAGGCTGTTTTTTCTCTGTGATCTTATATCTCGGAGACTGGGTTACTCCAGCTTCTGTGAGTTCTGTAGCGGGAAAAGAATTTGAAAACAGAGGAAAATGACTAGAATAATCACTGGGAGATTATGTGAGGATCATGGTGTTTCTAGGACTCACCTGCCCCCAGGAGACAGAGGGCCGCCCAGTAGAGGAGCCTGGTGCCCATGGCAGGATCAGGGTAGGATGGGAGCTTTGCCAGATCGGGGTCTGTGAGCAGGAGCAGAGGAAGTGGGACGTCGCTGTCCTTAACGCAAGTTCCTACAGTGACATCATTGTCTCCACAAATGCCTAAGTTCTTAGAAAGCAATTGTTGTAAACTAAAACAGAGCTAAAAGTTTGTTTAGTGTATTCATAGACTGGAAGTTCATCCAAGCGTCCTCACTCGCATATTCAGGGCTTGGGGAATTGGATCTCTCATTACATCTCTAGACCTATCCTGTGCTGGATGTTTCTACTTGGAATTCTCAAAGGCAACTCAAAAAATATATATCAATTAGTGACCTCTTGATTTTAGCATTTTGCTAAGCATTTTCCTTCTCTTTTAGTATTTCTTTTCTACCAGGTCCTCCATGCTCCCAGTCCTCTAGGGTAATTGACACAGCTTTATCCTAGAACTGCGTTGAACCAGCCGACACACTCTAACCTAAAGGGGTAAAATAATTCCCTAAGCACAAAGTTGGGAGGTTTCATTTTATCTGAAGGCCAATGACCAGTTCCCTTTTTGCTGTTATCAATCTTCATTACGCGTTATGTATCAAGCCTTCACTACGATTCTGCCTGTAGTTCTTGGTCACCAATGTGTTGAAAGTAAGCTCTGATATCTTAACCAAAATGGGCGAAGAGCACTCTAACTTCTGAAAATATCAGGGTGAATATCTAACAATAAATGCAAAATTGAACAGAACCTCTGGGATTTTAAACACTTACACTTCTATCATATTTTACAATTGAATTGCAGTGTTAGTATCCAGCAGTTTTAAAAAAAATTATGCAACATTAATTATGACACACTTCTCATTGTCTGAGTGGTAGAGTGGGAAGGCTTGAGGGATTGGAGAAGCCCTGAGAATCAGTATGAATGAACTAACCAATGATATGTATGTTCAGAGAAAGGGAATAGTACAACTCAGCCTAGAGAAATCCAAGTTCCTAAAACCTAGGGGACACATGTCAAGGTTATCAGGTGAAGACCTGTGAGTGTAGAATTATCAGAACCATCTCTTTTCCATATAAATTGTTTATCATTGTGGTAGAAAAGCTGCTAGTCGGAGCCCACGTTATGTTGACACCAATTAATAATTTCATGATGGAAAGTGTCTTCACATCACAGTGTCACTATCTCTTCCATCCTTGTGACCAGGGCTTAAGGCCCTGGATGACAACAGCATTGAGAGAGTGGAGGCTGGGTGGCTGGAGACAGGACCTATCAGGTTGCATGTGAAATACTTGAAGTGGAGGCATCCCATTTCTAGGAAAGAGATTCCCCAGGTATTCTCAGGCCTCCCCTGCTACCTGAGCACCAAAACAAATGAACAAAAAAACACCCATGATTGTGTCAGGGCCCAAAGGGCCATCTCATTGCTCATGGAAGGAAATGCCAGAGTTCTAGGAAATCTGGTTCTTGTTAAGAATATTTGCGGTGTTGGCTGGGGGCGGTGGCTCATGCCTGTAATCCCAGCACTTTGGGAGGCCGAGGCAGGTGGATCACGAGGTCAGGAGATCAAGACCATCCTGTCTGTGAAACCCTGTCCCTACTAAAAATACAAAAAAAAAAAAAAAAAAAAATTAGCCGGGTGTGGTGGTGGGCGCCTGTAGTCCCAGCTACTCAGGAGGCTGAGGCAGGAGAGTGGCGTGAACCTGGGAGACAGAGCTTGCAGTGAGCCGAGATCATGCCACTGCACTCCAGCCTGGGTGACAGAGACAGACTCCGTCAAAAAAAAAAAAAAAAAAAAAAATTTGCGGTGGTGTTACTGGAAACATCTACAATTGTCCACTCCCATCTTCTACATTCCCCTTACATACTCGTGTCGATCATCCAGTACACACTAGAATAGGTTAGGTGTAGGGCAGGGCGCATTGCTAAGGTTTCTCTGATGTTCTCCCAAGGAGGCATATTTCTCTCTGCATTGGTCTGTGAGCATTCAGGTTGGTTCCTGGCTCTCCTCCATCTACCCCTCAAGTGGGCTCAGAATATTCTCCACTCAATGGTTTGCTACAGTTCAGATTTCACTGTTGAGCAGAACCCACTGGCATCAGTGGAGAAAGATGAGTTTCTACTGACCACTCAAAACACCTGCAAACTAGATACTGAATGCTAGGATGAAGCCAGACTTTTCCTTTAAACTCGACTTCTCAGGCAACACTTAACTCTGTTTCAAAAACATTCGCACTCCATCAAACCTCAGTGCCTCCTGATGAGCCACGGGGCTTAGGCCCTCCATACATGGCTCAGGGAGGGTGATGGGACTTCTAAACAATGGAAACTAGATCAGGGCTACTATCAGACAGTGTTTGTGGGGGACTGAAGGGAATTCCTTCCAGCTCCATCTGATCCTTCTGTCCTACTAGAGACCCCTCCTCACAGACAGTGTTTCAGTCCTTCTAGAGTCCCCTTCTCTTACACAAACACATATTATCCAACCACAACTTAGGACAAGCACTACCACTCCTCTACTTATGTTCAGGCAATTCCCCAACATCTGTGAGTTCTTGACCAACCTGTAGAGAACTCAGAATCTCCTGTTTCAGTTGAAACAGTCCTATGTATTACTAAACAGCTTCTTGACTTGCATTGTTAGCTAAGTTTTGTGCTCCTCTCAAAGATATCAGGCTATTTTGTCCTCAGACTATAAATTCTCTTATCTTTTGGGGGGACTTTTAAAAATCATAGCCTGTCCCTATAGAAAAAGGATACTATAGGGTTAAAAGAAACCTTATCTTGTGTGTTCATTTTGTGGTAATTATAGAATATTTCAAAGATATTGAAAATGAATATAAAAAATACTCACCACAAAACTGAAATCATGTCAACATTCCAAGATCTTAAGATTTTTTTCTTCTAATTTTATTTAAAAAGCTGATACCTTTGGAAGAGCTGAATCATACAACAAACAGAATATTAAAATGTATTTCAATCATTAACATCATTTGACATTTGCTTTATCTCTTTTTGTGTATTTTACCCTCAATTTCTGAAGTAAAACACTTTATTCTTATTGATACAGTATGTCTCTTCTTAAAAGAGGCCATTACCTTAGAAAACCACAAATGCCTTTATTACACTCAAAAACTTTATTTCAAAAACATTATTTTCTCATATATACTTCACATTCCCCTTTCTCCAGTTGTACCAATGTGTCCTTCGGTTTTATTTTTTTCTACAGGACATTATCAAAGATTATGCATTTCTTTTGGTTGTCAGGTCTTTTTAGCTACTTTAAAACTAGGTATATATTTGGCCCACTTATATTTTCCAATTTTCATGGTCTTGATTTTTGTAAAAGTCCATGTCCGCTGAGTGGTAAAATGACCCCCAATCAGAATTTGCACATTATCAGAGGTTAAATATTTTGGCAAACACCATGCCATAGTTGATGTGTGTTTCCCATTGCATCTGATCAATTACAAGAACATATAATGCTATCTTTACACATTTTTGGTGATACTAAATTTAGCATCATAGACATGCGATCTCTCCATTGTGAAGATATCATTTATCTTTTATAGTTAATAAGCAATTAGTGGAGTGATACTTTGACACAATACAGATATCTTGGTCTCCAATAACTTTTCTGATGTTGGTTTTGACATCACCTGATGGTCTCTGTCTGTAACTGCATTAATGGTTACATTGATTTTCTAATTAAATGTATTACCTAGCATTATTCTGTAATGAAGACATTCTTACCTACATCTTTTTATTGTCATTATAGCCTTATAGATTTTTAAAATTTGTTATAATTTAGTGTCCTCATTATTATTCTCTAATGTTTAGATACTCTTGTTTGGCTAGTGGGAGCCCCGTGAAACTGCTACTGTGGATTTTTTGTATGTTTTCTGGGTCATGAGACTTCCTTGATTTCTGCCAAAAGATATTTTTGACTTTCCCTGCTCTGGATCTAGAAGAAGTCATTTCTGCTTTGTTTCTTTTAGAAATATGTAGAAATTAAATATCATGCAATAATTCTGCCCATTACTGCTGGGAATACAGCTACAAATAAATAAAGCAATTGTCCATTGACTTTATATTGCTTTTTACATATGGTATAGTTAGAGTTAGGAAATACATAATTTTTTTAAAAGTTCATATCGATACCTCCAATTCAAATAAACATCACAGATTTCTTCCTTGTCTTTCCCTATTTCTTATTTGTATCTCTCTTCCCGTTGTAAGAACTCTGTTTCCCAGCCATGTCAATGAATTTACTTATTCTCTGTTGTACAGTATATTAAAACTGTTTCGGAAATGTGCACTAAAAACACTAAGAGCAACAAATCTCCCAAGTGAAGTTCAACCCCAACCTCATGTAGCCTTATAATCGTAAAACTATTAAAATCTAAAGATAAAATGAAACTTAAAAAACCAGAAAAGAAAAGCCATTACCTCCTTATAAGATATACAAATGATCAATAATATATGAAAAGATGCTTAGTATGTACTGTTTGGGTCTTCTATCTAAGTTCAGTTTATTACATGCAACATGTTGGAAAAGCTCTTTGACATTGGCCTTGGCAATGATTTCTTTGATATCATACAAAAAGTTCAGGCTACAAAAGCAAAAATAAATGGGACTAAATCAAACTGAAAAACTTCTGCACAACAAATACAACAATCAACAAAATGAAAAGGCAACCTGTGGATTTGAAAAAATATTTGCAAACCATATGTCAGCTAAGAGATTAATATACCAAACATATAAAGACCCCATACAACTCTCTGGCAAGAGAACATATAACCCTATTTAAACCGAGCAAAGGACGTAAACAGACATTTCTACCAAGAAGACATAAAAATGGCCAAGATGCTCAATATCACTAAATGTTAGAAAAGTGCAAATCAAAACTGCTATGAGATAGCACCTCACACCCATTAGGATAGCTATTATTAAAAAGATAAGTTGCAAGAGTGTGGAGAAAAAGGAACTTCTATACACTGTTGGTGGAAAAGTAGATTGATGCAATCATCAAGAAAATTAGTGTAGGTGTTCCTAAAGAAATTAAAAATAGAATTATATGACCCAGCAATCTCTTTTCTTGGTATATACCCAAAGAAAATGAAATCCCACCTCTTGGAGATATCTGCACTCCCATGTTCATTGCAGCATTATTTACAAAGCCAAGATATGGAAATAACCTAAGTGTCTACTGATGGACAAAGGATGAAGAAACTGTGGTATACATATACAGTGGAGTATTATTTGGTCCTAAAAGAATAATGAGATCTTGCCATTTGCCTCAACAAACATAGATGAACCTGGAGGACATTAGGCTAAGTGAAATAAGCCAGACACAGAGAAATAGTATATATTATTTATATGTGAAATTTACAAACACTCAATATACAGAGAGAATGAAATAGTGGTTACTGAGAGGATGGCAGGGGGAGGGAATAGGAAATGGGAATATTTAGGCCAAATGACATAGCAGATAGGCAGGATGAAGAATTCTGAAGATCTAATGCACCACATGAAAACTACAGTTAATAATAATATATTCAGAATTTTTTTCTAAATGAGTAAATTATATCTGCTATTTCCACAGGGAGTGAATGGTAACTATGTGAGATGATGGCTATATGAATTTGTTTCACTATAGTAACCATTTTCCTATAGGTATGTATCTCATAATATCATGTTATGTACTTGAAGTATACGTAATAAAATTTTAAAATTTAAAGTAAAAGTTCAAAAAAAGATGCTTAACATCATTAGTCATTAGGAACATGTAAATCAAAATCGCAATGAGGTATCACTTCGCATTTATCGGGATGGCTAAAATAATTTTTAAAAAGAAGAACAAAACAGAAATTAAGTGTTGGCAAGGCTGTGAAGAAACTGGAAGGCTTTTACATTGTTGTGGGAATACAAAATGCTGAGGCTGCTGCAAAACACTGTTGGGCAGTTACTCAAAATGTCAAATATAGAATTCCCATGTGACTCAGGAATTCTGCCCCTAGGTATACACCCAGAATAATTGAAAGCAGGAAATCAGACAGATACTTGTGGGTCAGTGTTTATTGCAAGATTATTTATAATAGTCAAAAGGTGGAAACAACCCACATGTCCATCAGTTGATGATAAAATAAACAAAATGTGGTCTATACACACAATGAAGTATTATTCAGCTATGTAAAGGAGTAAAATTCTGACACATGCTATAATATGGATGAATCTTGAAAGCGTTAGGCTAAGTGAAAGAAGACAGACACAAAGGGAAATATATTTTATGATTTCTCATAAATTAACTATTTAGAGTTGGTAAATTCATGTAAACAAAGGGTAGATTAGGGGTTACCAGAGGCTGAGAAGCAGGGGAGATGTGGAGTTATTGCTTAATGGGTGTGGTTTCTCTTTGAGATCATGAAAACCATTTGGAAACAGCAGTGATGGTTCTACAACATTGTGAATGTATGTAATTCCACTTAATTGTACGTTTTAAAATTGTTAAAGTAAAAAATTATAGTTTTATGCACATATAAAACATTTAAAAATTAACATTTAAAAGCTGGTAATATATATTTTATATATATATAAAACTGGTAATGTATATACTATATATTATACATATATGATATAATGTATATACTATATATAAAGTATATATGATATATTATACATATATGGTTATACATATATTTATAACCACAGTTTTTAAATGTTAATTTTTAAATGTTGATTAAAACCTTCAAAATGGCTAAAATAAATATTGACAACTCAATTCTCCATGAGGGACCCTAAAGACGATGAAAGGAACTCAAGTAATTTAAACATACAGTCATCTCTTAGTATCTTGAGGGGACTGGTTCTAGGAAACCCTGCTGATACCCTAATCCGAGGGTGCCCACCTTCCTCACAGTCAACCTTTCGTATCCTTGGGTTCCAAATCAGCTAATACAGAGGATCAAGTATCTTGCTAATTTATTTCAAAATGTTGCTTGTCAGAATATATCTCAGAAAGGGTTTTCTGATATAGTTATTGTATTAGTCTGTTTTCACACTGCTATGAAGAAATACCCAGGACTGGGTAATTTAATTTATAAAGGAAAGAGATTTATTTGACTCACAGTTCACATGGCTGAGAAGGCCTCAGGAAACTTACAATCATGGCAGAAGGAGAAGGGAAGTAAGGCACATCTCACATGGTAGCAGGACAGAGAAAGAGAAAAGAAAACTGTCATTTATAAACCATCAGGCCCTGTGAGAATTCACTCACTATTAGGAGAACAGCATGGAGGAAACCGCCCCCATGATCCAATCACATCCCACCAGGTCCCTCCCTTGACACATGGGGATTACAATTTGAGATGAGGGTGGTGACACAGAACCAAACCATATCAGTTATAATTTTCTTCTGTAGTATAATACAGTTCCACTAGTCCACATCTTTTCTCATATTTGGGACTATCATTTCTTTGAAAACTTTCTGGTCTGGTAAGTTTGCATTCATAATTTACTGTTTCAGATTGGAATACTCTGATTCTAAGTGAGGTTAAGAACCTATTCTTTTTTTTTTTTTTTTTAAGACGGAGTCTTGCTCTGTCACCCTGTCTGGAGTGCGGGGAGTGATCTTGGCTCATCGCAACCTCCGCCTCCCAGGTTCAAGCAATTCTTGTGCCTCAGCCTCCCGAGTAGCTGCTGGGACCACAGGCACATCCCACCATGCCCGACTAATTTTTTGTATTTTTTATAGAGACGAGGTCTCGCCATGTTGGCCAGGCGTGTCTCGAACCCCTGACCTCAAGTGATCTGCCCACCTCGGCCTCCCAAAGTGCTGGGATTACAGGAATGAACCACTGCACCTGGCCCAATAACCTACTTTTATGTTAGTGGTAATTTATGTTTACTTTTCTGTGAAATGCCTATTTAGACTAAGTATTGCCTTTTTATTGGGTTGTCTTTTTCTTAGTAAGTTATGAGAATGCTTTACTCATTTTAGATACTAACTCTATTAGATAAGAAAAGCTATGCTACAGAAAACAAAATAAAAATAAATCTTAAAATTTCATTGGCTAATTCTATGAAGTCTTACTTCCCCTGTCCACAAAGCCCAGCAGGACCTAAGTGGCTTTCTTCCATGGCTCTTCACCAAATTACGACCCAGTGAGCCAGGCTGCTTCTGTATTATCATTAGTCAATCTGTATCGCGTAGCTCCCAAGTTTATTAGGGCATGGCAAAAGAGTTGAAGGGTATCTGTACAGAAAACAGTCAACAGCAGGCTTGAGACTGCGGTGCTTAGAAAGTTCTGCTTGCAAGACGGGCATTTGGCTCGCATCTGGGAAGCTGTCTGGTGAGCAGTGCCCTGCACTGACATGAAGTTTCTCCTAACTGAGAGGAGTAGCTCATTGTGCCTAGACTGATATCGCAAACAGTATTGTGCTGAACACCAGATTTCCTTCTGGGCTGTGGATTTTGGGTTCATACTAGGCAGTGAGTGCCTCCATGACCGGCCTCCACTGAAGCCTCTGGGGTGTTGAGTCTCTGATGAGCTCCACAGGCAGAAACATTGCACACATGTTAATGCATTTTTGTTGCTGGGAGAAGTGAGATCTGTGTGACCCCTCCTGGGAGGAAGAGAGCATAAGGAAGTCAATGTGTGAACTCCTCTAGATTCCTTCTGTGTGTTTTCTTCATATGATCCACTGCTGAATATTTACTATGACACTGTAATAAATCTCAACGGTAAGTGCAACTGTATGCTATATCCCATGAGTCTTTGCAGCTAATTTCTGTGTCTACTTCAGGACTCCCTTCACAGTGCCACAAGTTATTTCTTTTTTCTCTTCTTTTCTTTCTTTCTTTTTTTTTTTTTTGAGACGGAATCTCCCACTGTCACCAGGCTGGAGTGCAGTGGCACGATCTTGGCTCACTGCAATCTCCACCTCCAGGGTTCAAGTGATTCTCCTGCCTCAGCCTCCTGAGTAACTGGGACTACAGGCGCCCACCACCACATCCAGCTAATTTTTGTATTTTTAGTAGAGATGGGATTTCACCACGTTGGCCAGGATGTTCTCCATCTCCTGACCTTGTGATCCACCCATCTCAGCCTCCCACAGTGCTGGGGTTACAGGCGTGAGCCACCGCGCGTGGCCGCCGCAAGTTATTACTAAGGACCAGCCTTGGGATTGCCCACATCAGTTCTGCACACATCCAGTTATTCAGAATCACTTCATATGTTCCCAGCCCTTTAACTACAACTAGAGCCTGGAACCAAAGGGGAGCCAAGGCACTTTTGTGAGCATAAACGGTCTTTGTCATGCTGATTGTTCTTCATTTGCATGCATTCCTCATGTCTTTTCCAGGCTGTGGCTTGACTTTTCATTTTTCATCATGTGTTTTGATACATGATTAATACAGCTAATGTTAGGTTTTTATTTTTGTTGTTGTTGTCGTTGTTTTGAGATGGAGTTTCACTCTGTCGCCCAGGCTGGAGTGCTGTGCTGCCATCTCGGGCTCACTGCCACCTCCACCTCCCAGGTTCAAGTGATTCTCATGCCTCACCTTCCAGAGTAGCTGGGAGTACAGGCGCCCGCCCACTCACCAGGCTAATTTTTGTGTTTTTAGTAGAGATGAGGTTTTGCCATGTTGCCCAAGCTGGCCTCGAACGCTTGGGCTCAAGTGATACACTGCCTTGGCCTCCCAAAGTGCTAGGATTAAAGGCATGAGCCACCACGCCCAGCCAGTATTATTTTTTATGGCTTGTGTTCTTTTGTGTTTCCACTAAGAAATTCTTCCCTCAAAGGATAAAAATATTTTCCTTAATTTCTTCTAGTAAAATTTAAGTTTTTCTGCTTATAGTTAAGAGTAAATGTACCTGAAATATACTCTCATGTAAGGAATTAAGTAGAGACTTGGGGATAAAAGGGAGGAACATATGCTCAGTACAAAAAAAGTAATCTGTAAAAACACATCAAAACAACATAACACATATGAGGAAATAACTGAACATAGAGGAGTGTGGCTGGAGCAGAGAGAACCAGGGCAGACTTGTACAAAATGATGATGGAGATGTAGGTGAAGGGCAAATGAGAGAGGGCCCCATGAGGCTATTGCCCCATAGAGGAAAGGCAGCCAGGAACAGAGGTCAGGAGTGAAGGTTCGTGACTGTGAGTGGAAGGGATAGTGGAGGATGGGGAAAGGGGCAGATGAAGAAGTCACTGAAGCCCACAGGTGAGAGAAGAAGTCCAGGCTTCGGGGTTAAGATAATTATCACTAATCTCAACTAGTGATGCCTTTTCCTTTCTAAAAGCAGAAAAAAACAAGAGTTGCAGAAGAGAGACTAGGCAAGCTAAGGGTGTTGGGGTGACCTCCAGTTGGTTTGAGACTGGGGTAGGAATGCACGTCAGCACTGAGGGTCCTAAGGCCCCTGCTCTATGGCCTCCAGGCTGGCCAGGGCTCTCTGACTCCTGTGGAGGCCTGAACAGTCCAGGGTGGGGACAGACACAGAGTAACCTCAGTCTTTCTAACTGTCCTTTATGTGCAGAGAGGAGGCAACCGTGCAGCACTGTGGATTCACTGCTGGCACAAAAGTACACAGATGTCTGGGAGCGGGTAGCGGACTCCAGAGTGAGGAGGAAATCCTCTGTCTTTGATCTAGAGACACTGTAGCCATCTGAGACTTCTACTTTGTCAGTGTCTTCAACCCCATATGAGTAATGGATCAGCCTCAGCCCATGCCCCAGGTCTTGTCGATACCAGTACATATAGCGGTGGTTCTCAGTCTGGTGACATCTCAGAGTCACTGGTGTTCCTGTCTCTGTGATCTTGTATCTTGGGCTCTGGGTGATTCCAGCATCCATGTGTCCTGTAATAGAAAACAATAGAGCCTGATGCTGTAATCCCAAGAAAAAGGCTTTTATTGAGGCCTTGGGAATTCCAGGGAAGGAAGCCCACCCGTGACCAGCCCTCACCTGTCCACAGGAGACAAAGGGCCACATAGAAGAAGAACCTTGTGCCCATTTCAGGTCCAGGCCAGGATCTCGTGTCTCCCATCCCTGCTTGGGGAAATAGAACTTAGGTTCTCAGTGACTCGATGACATCAGTGCCCCTGACAAATAGTTGAGCTGCAAAGTTAACCTGCCACACCCCTTCCATTCTCCACAAAAATAAAGTGTGTGTGTGTGTATATATAGAGAGAGAGAGTGAATATATGTAATTTATGATATGTACAGCAATATTTTATAGGGCATATATACAATTAATAGCTCAGAATGGGAATAATCTGTAGACTACTTTTAAAGACGTAAGTGCATATGCCCTTTGCAGGATTTTAGAAAGAAAATGCATTCCTCTATGCATATTTTGTTCCCATTAGGATACAATTCTTCATTTTTATGCTGTTTTAATTGTTTCTAATATTTATGTAGTCTAAGGGACATTCTCATGGCAGTCTGGTGTCCTTTAGAACTCATCTCCTCAAATTTGCCTCTAAGTTCCTTTTACTGGATTTTATCTTTCCTCAAACTCTGGATAACTGGATGTCAGCCTACAGGAATGGCCTCTGTTAAAAGAGCCACCTGACATCTGGGAAGGTTTCAAAAAGTCTTAATGTTAGGGTCCCTATAATTTGTATATTGTTTTATGCTCTGTCACATTAGTTCACCTCACAGGAGTCTCATCATCAGAGCTCAGACCTCTGTGTGTTCCTGCTGGTAGTGTGATGGTTAATTTTAGGTGTTAATCTGACCAGATGAAGGCATACCTGGATACTGGTACAGCAGTGTTTCTTGGTATGTCCGCGGGGGTATTTCTGGAGGAGATTGGCTTGTAAATTGATGAACTGTGTGGGGAAGATCTACTCTCAATGTGCATGGGCAATATCCAGTCAGCTGGGGGCCTGGATAAAACAAAAAGACACAGGAAGGGTGAATTTGCATTGTCTCTCAGAGATGAGACATGTGTCTTCCACTGCCCTTGGATATCAGAACTCCAGATTCTCCTACCTTTGGACTCTGGGACTTACACCAGCAATCCCCTGGGTTGTCAGGTTTTTGGTCTCGAGCTGAGAGACACAACATTGGCTTCTCTGGTTCTGAGGCCTTCAAACTTGGATTGAGTCATGCTACTGGCATTGCTTCATCTTCAGCTTGCAGATGGCTGGCATACTGGGGAACTTTTCAGCCTTCATAATCACGTGAGCCAATTTCCCTAACAGATTCTTCTCTTCTCTTCTCTTCTCTTCTCTTCTCTTCTCTTCTCTTCTCTTCTCTTCTCTTCTCTTCTCTTCTCTTCTCTTCTCTTCTCTTCTCTCCTCTTCTCTTCTCTTCTCTTCTTTTCTCCTCTCCTCTCTTTCTCTCTCTCTCTGTATACATATAGAGTGTATATATATATAGTTTCTCCAGAGAAACAGAACTGATAGAATATATATATATGCATATGTATACATATATACTTTTTTTTTTTTTTTTTTGCTTCATGAGAATGCTCATGTACCTCACGCAACACCAAATAACTATGAAAATGCCTTTAAAAGTAACACAGGAAAAAGAGTGACAGAGACCACAAATCATATGACCACATTGGCTTAGATCAGATACTGTCACTTAGTGATGAATCGAATGACCACTGTCGTCACACTGCGTCCATCCTTAATCGCACGAATAGGATTCAATTACCTCTAGGGCTTCACCTCACTCCTCAGAGAAATAATAGTAAACAACCAATAAGAACTATACTGTATGCACTATATACGCATACTTGATTGAACTTAATACATGACCTCTG